AGTTATGCCCCTTCACTTATTGCCAATTGGATTTAGGTTTGATTCTTAATATGGTATCAAAGTCAGAATTTACTTCTATTACCTTTTCCAAATTTAAGTGAAGCCCTCCTATTTTAGGTTGGATGCATAACAAAATAAGATACCCGTAACATGGAAATAAATTAACCTCAAATGAAGTAAATGTTCATCAATTTTCTATTTATTTCCTTCATGCCATCAAATGAATATCATTACTCTATTCAATAAACAGTAACTACTTATTTTGATCAAATTTCGTTATTGAAATTTGAGTAACAAACTACTATAAATAATCAAATTTCTCTTTCAATTACTCCAAAAAAAATTGTAAATTCTATCTTTAAACCTAAAAAATACATATATTAACTTGAAATTCCGTCTTTTTTTCTGCGTCAAGAATCAAACAGTATTTAAACAAAAAAGAAAAGAAACTAAAAAATCTTACCAGTTCCGGCCAAGGACTTCGTCGGCGCGGTAACCGGTGAAAACCTCGAAGACTTTGTTGACATAAATGATGGGGAAATCGGGCTCAAGAGCATCGGAAACAACGAAAGAAGTAGGAGTTGTAGGGTAAAACAACAGCCCTGGCTTTGAAGCAAGCTCGCTCTCTTCTGCTTCTTCGTCATAGGCTTCGTCGTTTTCTTCCTCTTCTTCCATTTCTCGTCGTTTGTCTTCTTCATCTTTTGAAAATCGCCGCCGCTTTCCACTGCTTTGCATCACTTCTTCTCCTTTAGACATTTTTTTCTTCTTTTTTGATTTCGAGTGTGGGCTTTTCTTTCCCTTCTTAATGTTTTTTTTTTAGGAGATATTTATGGGTTGAATTTTTCTAAACCCAAAATGCCCTTCTTTACCTACCATATTTGCAAATTTGCCTCTAATTACCGCCCCTAATCATTTGTTAATGTATTTAGTAAGTTGTGAATTCCTAATTACTTCAGAATTTGAATTAGTTATTTTTAATATTATAAATAATATTTTAAAAAAATTAAATACTCATTTAATTCATGTATTGTGTCATTTGTATTAATTTAATATCTAAAAAAATTAAACAATGTTAATCTATTTATTTGCGTGACATACCTGACCAATAATAGAACGTTGGTTGTTATCAAATTTTGATCACATTAACATAAAAAAAAAATTTTTTAAAAAAATTTATAAAAATTTTTTGAAAGAAAAAATCAAAACATTCAAAAATAAAAAGTTAAAATCTCAAATTTTTTATTTTTAAAAATAATTTTACAACTTTAAAATTTTTTTAAAAATTAAAAAAATATATTTTTAAATTTTTTAAAAATTAAAAATTTGAATTTTTTATAAAAGGAAAATTACCAGTTTAAAAAATCTGGATTTTTTTAAAAAATTAAAAATCTCAAATTTTTTTATAAAAATTGTAATAATCATTTTTAAAATTCAAAATTTTATATAGATTTAAAAAAAAGAGAGTAAAAATTTTCAATAAAAAAATAAAAGACCGTTTTATATTTTATGTTCTTTTCTTTTTTTTTCTTTTCCAAACCAAACAAGACTTTTTCATTTGTACGTTAATGATTGACCCATGATTTCTAGCAAAAAAAAATGATTACGAAGGAAAGCTTAAATTAATTTTAAATCCAAAATGGCAATTAAGCATTTTGGTAATTAAACAAAAATGGAGTGGCAACGGTAAGGGTGTGGGTCACGGCGTTGTAGTGGCTGAAGACCGAAGTAAAATCCAAGAAAGAAAATATCTGAACCCAATCTACCACGTCATCTATGTGCGAGGAAGATATTTATTTTAGCGTCAGGGTGTGGCGGGAATGGAATCCATCTTACCGACGATCCCTTCCCCTAAATGGTCCCTTAAACAATTGGCCATCTCACTTTTACGCTATGGTCCACCAAATTTGATGTGCTGAAATCACGTGAACAAAAATGAACGGCAAATTCTTTACCTCACCAAAAAAAAAAAAAAATCTTAATCAAAGCAATTCAAAATTTTGACCCAAAATTTAAAATATTTTAAATACAAAAAAAATATAAAAATTTTCATCCACTATCAATAAAATTTTTAATAACATAAAGTTTAATTCAAATAATTCATTTGAAGTGATTTCTAATAAAATTAGGATTTGATTTAATATTTATAATTTTTTTAAATTTTCTTTAAATTTTGATTTTTTATATAAAAATAAAAATTTTAAATCTATGTAATTTCTATTCATGCTTAAATCTACACCTACTCATGAATCGACGGTTTCATGCGAATTTGAAAATTTATTCGAAATTTTAAAAAATTTAAACATGAATATTAAATTTATTAAATAAATTTTGATAAATAAATAAAATTCGATCAAAAAATTGGATTAGATTTGAGTTTTATCATTTAAAGTTTGAATCCAACTTAAAAATTAAAAAAATATTTTTTATCATAATAACACAAAGCTTATTTTTTTAATTATAATGGATAATGTTCATTTACTTTATTATTTATAATATGATAAAACTCATTTTTTTATATAAATAATGATTTAATTTAAAAATATATTTAATAAAATTAAATTAGACCAAATATCAAATACCTTATAAATTTAATTAAAATTAATTAAATTAATACTTAAAAAAAAAAACTCTTTTCTTCAATTTTAAATATCAATGCATTGCATGAGTTTAAACTTTATTTTTACATATAAAAACAAGCTTTGACAAAAAATAAAATCCAAAAAATCAAATTAAACAAGACTTACATTTGTTTAAAATATTAAAATATCATGCTAGGTCTAACTCTTCACATATCACAATTTTAGAAAACAATTTGATTTAAATTTTATTTGACATGAGTTTAAATTTAAATTTATATTAATTTTATTATGTTAAAATTTAATTAATTAAATTATTTAATAATATAATATTTAATTATAATTATAACTTTGCTTGTAATAGTAATTTCAAAATCCCACGTCACAATTTTAGACAACAAATGGGTTAGATTAATTGAACCACAAAAGAAGTAAAGATCACATAATGAACAGCATGACTGAAAATGTTTTCTTTGTTTCAAAGTGATTGTACATCATCCTGAAACCTGAAAAACCTGAGCACTTGCCTACCGTCACAACATACTGAGACAACCTCTCCAATGTTAATTCTGACCAAGATCGATTTTCCTTAAAATAAACCAAGGTGCACAAGTTTTAAGTGCTTTCTCTCTGACAACCTTAAGAACTACAACCAGCTTCTTCATGTATCTCACTCTTTTCCTTGCACAATAGTAAGTGTGCAAAGCTCTTTGATTGCTCAGTTTAAAAGCTTTAATGTTGGAGATAACTAGTGTAGGATTCAATATTTTTTTGATATCCACTGATAATTTAAATAAAAAATTATCAAAATATTTATTAATTTTATTAATAAAAATTTAAAATATAAAAAAAATTTATTTTTAATTTTTAAAGATATTTATAAATACTCTATCTTCTTTTTAGTATCCGCTACGGATGGTTAAATTATCCGTGTTTGAAGAGTTTAGGGAGAATGGATAGGATAAAAATAAATTTAATAATTTAAAATATATTATAGTGATATAATATAAATATAATAAAAAAATAAAATACGAAGATTATATAATTTAAAATTTTAATAATAATTATATATGAATTTTATAAAATAAAAAATATATATATTAAAATTTTTTTATAAAAATTATGATATATAATTTTTATATAAAATATAATATAAATATATAAATTTTAATATTTTATAAGATATAAATATATAAATTATCAAATTTAAATTAAAAAAATGTGGCCCGTTTTCTTACGTTGATAGAGTGACCGAGATATATTGAAAACTAGAGTCCTTAGCTTTGCATGATTTAAAAATAATGTGACACTATTGTAGCTCTAGCATTCAACTTTGCGTTCTGATTTATCAAACTTTTGGATTTTATTTAAAAAAAATCAATTGACATAAAACATTCAATATTATTAAATTAATTTAATGATGCTGAAACTAATTTCAAAAAACAAAATTTTTTTGGAAGTGTACCAAAAAAAAAAATCAGTATTTCAAGTAGTACAAAATTTCTCATTAATTATGGCCTCCCATGGTACAATATCAAGCCTTCAACCTCACTTCATCTTATTTTAGGCCTCACCAACCGACCACCAAAAGCCATGACCCAGGAAGAGACATGAGAAGCTGATAAATTAATACATGTCACTCTAACTCAAGATCCAAGAAATATATAACTTGCAGATAATTTAATTACGGAAAATGTTAATAATGCCTACCAGACCAGTCAGCGAGCGAAACCGAAGAATTGCGGACCGCGAAAACTAGCGAGCCACTGTGCCTGAGTATGACTACCCTTGCCTGTCAGGGTCCCACCACCTTTCGCTTCAAACCCACCCATTTGTATTTTTATTTATTTATTTATTATCCGGCCCGCCCCAAAAATAAATTAATTAAAAAAAAGAAGAGGGACAACTTTTTTCTAATTTTCGCATTATCTTTTTACCGTATCTGTATCTGTTCAACGATAATATTATTCGTTCAAATTTTGAAAAAAATTTAATACAAAATTAAAATTTATTAAATAAATTTAAATATAAATTTTAGATTTATATAAATTTTAAATCAAATCTTAAATAAAATATTTAAAATCTAATTTATTCCTAATTCATATATATATAAAGTTTTTATTTATATATAATATGTGAATTATATATAAATTATATATAAAAATTAATATATATTAAAAATAAAATTATATAATTATACATATTTTATTTTATTAAAAATATAATATAATTATATATTATATATTTATTTATTATATAAATTAGATTTAATGAGTAAATTTATGATTTATTTTTTAAATTTAGATTGAGTTTAAAAAAATTTTAAAATTTAAAATTTTGAATAAATCAAATCTAAATAAAAATATAAATAATTAAATCAAATATAAATACAATCCAAATTCGATCGGATCCGACCCAGAACAACTCTGCCCCCACCACTTTTCTTATTTTTTTTTTTTTTTTTTAAATTTCTCTCCTCTGTATAAACAATTTTCAACTCTCTTCCGATCAGCAAAAACGGAAAAATTGAACGTCAAAGAAAATAGAAACTTCCTAATTTATCCTTGTTTTATTCTCTCCTTGATCCGATCCCGGTTCAGACCTTTCAAAATTTTCTAATTTCTTTAAATTTCACCCTCCATTTCTAGGTTTTCTATTTCTCTCTCTCTGTTCCAAGTGTTTCTTGTAATGGTGAATTTCGTTGTTTTGTTTTATTGATTTGGAGTTATAAAGAGAGAGAAATACTGTGAATTCTAGGGTTTTTTTAAATGTGTGAGTGAGTTGTGTTTTTGGCTCTGGCTGCCATGCAGAGAGTGGTGCAGTCGAGTGTGAGCGCGAGCGCCGCTGTCACCAGCAGCTACGGCGTCTCGTCGTCGTGCAAAGGAGTGGAGGCTGTGATCTCCGATAATTTCCCGGTTGGTTTGAGGGTTCTAGTCGTGGACGATGACATTACTTGCTTAAGAATTCTCGAGCAGATGCTTCGCCGCTGCCTCTATATCGGTGATTAATTTTGCATTCCCCCCCCCCTTTTTTTTGCATTTTCTATGTTTATTTTCATATATATTTGCATGCAATTTCTGCTTATGAAACTTTCATTTCGAATTAAAATTAAATTCGGGTATATTTTCGTGGTTGGTAGTGTTTAAGCAAACGGGGAAAAACAAAATAATAATTGATTAAAAAATGATCAAATCACTAGAGTACAACGCAAATTTCAACATAATTGTTTCCTCTAAAAGAGAAAGCACGCATTTTCTCATCTAACAAAGATTACATTTTGAAGTGTTGAACTCTTTAAAAATGTCGCCTATGTATTTGCTTTAGTATCCAAACACACTTAATTTTTCTTGCTCTTTGTATGTCTTAGATTCCTTGCTATCAAACAACCAAAAAGAGTCATAATTAATATCATGGATTCATCTTAATTTTGTTATCTGTGGGCAGTGTGAAATGTTGTGATGTTTGTCCAAATTTTCTTTTTTTAAAAAATAAAATTCCATTTTTTGCAGTTACTATTTGCTCCCAAGCCAAAGTTGCCCTGAACCTTTTACGCGAGAGAAAAGGGTGTTTCGATGTGGTACTGAGTGATGTTTATATGCCCGATATGGATGGTTATAAACTCCTTGAACATGTTGGGCTTGAGATGGATCTTCCAGTAATTAGTAAGTATTCTTTTGTTTTTGGATGAAGATTTCTTTAAATAAGTATTTTGCTTCTGTTTATTAACGTGATGAATCCTGTTGCAGTGATGTCGGCTGATGGGAGAACAAGTGCTGTTATGAAGGGAATTAGACATGGGGCTTGTGATTATTTGATTAAGCCCATAAGGGAGGAAGAACTGAAGAACATATGGCAGCATGTTGTTAGGAAGAAATGGAATGAAAATAAAGAACTAGAACATTCGGGAAGCTTAGATGATAATGATCGGCGTAAACAAGTAAATGATGATGCTGATTATGCTTCTTCTGTCAAGGATGGGACAGATGTATCATTGAAACCTCAGAAAAAGAGGAATGCCAAAGAAGAGGATGAGGGTGAAATTGAAAATGATGATCCATCCACATCAAAGAAACCACGTGTTGTTTGGTCTGTGGAACTGCATCAACAATTTGTCACTGCTGTAAACCAGCTAGGGATTGACAGTACGATCTCTAATGATCTATTCCTTTTAGTTATTTTTCTTAAGATTTTGAATGGGTATGGAGGATGGCATTTTGTATTCATAGCAATCTCCAAAATAGAATTGTTATTAGTAATTGCTTCTTTGTATTATTGCTAACTAAAGAATTGTGGCTTCCATTTCAGAGGCTGTTCCCAAGAGAATTCTTGAGCTAATGAATGTGCCTGGTTTAACTAGAGAAAATGTTGCAAGCCATTTGCAGGTTTGGTTCTTCATCATGTGTATTTGAACTACATTTTCTTTTTCATCTACTAGGTAATTTGGACTGATCATAAATATATTTGAGCATTTTGAGATTGGCTCTCAGCACTTTGTTAGAGTGACTATTTAAAAGCAGCTGATTGTTGTTTTGCTTGCATAATTCCAATTCATTTTGGACTTCTAGATTTTGGCTTACAACAAAGCTTTGATAGTTTTGTTGTTGATATGTCATTTCCTTTTTTATTATTTTGAAATGTTGCCTTATAGATTCTTTTATTTTCTAGTTCTTTTTTAGCAAGTGAGAAGATATTGCCTATTTCTTCTTTTTAGTTTTTCTCTTTTTTCTGATTTGTTAGAGTTTAACCTGCCTGCCCATTAGTAATTGTAATAAGTAAACTGAGTATAATGGGCTTTGGTTTTTCTTGAATTACTTAGCTAACAAAGTCATGAGAGTTCTGGATTCAAACAATTGTCTTAAACCTAATAACCATACTCAGATTTTAATTTACATCTACCCTGAATCCATTTTTTCTCCCTTCCATAAAGATGGAAGTTTTATAAATTTTCTGATTTCCAATATTTTATTTGTTGTGCTGATATCTGTGTAGGCCAATTTTGATGTAAGGCTATTGGCATATGAGTCATAATCAAATATTTTTAACATAATCTCAATTTGATTTCTAAGCTTGTTAATTTCAGGTGATTGTCTAGATTTTGTTGTGATAATAGCTTCAAAAGGTTTAACGATCTTAGGCACCATACTACATGACGTGTTGTGTAATGTTTGACATCTGGTGAAGTTATGAAATTATCTTCTTAAGAGGGTTAGCCTATTCAAGTTAGCTGCGTCTGATTGAAAGTAGATCTCATAATTGAGCTTTTTTTTTTTAAACAATCACGATGGTAAATAAGGCTTGTATTGTTGTTTATTTTTGTAATTCTTTTGCAAGTCATAATTGGTTTTAAGTTGGATTATGATTTGGGGCTTTGCTTTGAGAACTGGACCACCTGCCAGCTGCTTTATGCTGAAGTCAGCGACTCAGCATTGAATGTAGCTTGTTCAGGCACAGCATTACATGTTGTGTTGTTGTTTGACATCTGGTGAATTTATGAAATTATATCCTTTTGAGGATTAGTTGATTCATGTTTCATCTGATTGGAAATGGATCTCTTAATTGAGTTTTGAGTATAAATTTTAAAAAAAAAATTATAATGGTCGATAATACTCATAGCATTGCTCTCTTTTTAAACTTTTTTGTCTAATCAAATTATATCCTTTTGAGGATTAGTTGATTCATGTTTCATCTGATTGGAAATGGATCTCTTAATTGAGTTTTGAGTATAAATTTTAAAAAAAAATTATAATGGTCGATAATACTCATAGCATTGTTCTTTTTTTAAACTTCGTTTGTATAATCAAATTTGGATTAATGATTGTGATATTAAAAGTATATAAACTTCAAAGTATCTTTTTCCTGTAGATATATTTAGCTACCTGAGCCTTTTAAAATCTGTATTTTAACATGCAAGTTACCATGATCTCTATGTGCAGAAATTCAGACTATACTTGAAGAGAATAAGTGGAGTGGCTCAACAAGGTGTAATTTCTAATCCACTTTGTGGGCTGGTAGAACCAAGTGTTAAAATTGGTTCACTTGGAAGATTTGACATCCAAGCATTGGCTGCTTCTGGACAAATTCCTCCACATACTTTAGCAGCCCTCCATGCTGAGCTCTTAGGTCGACCAACTGGTAATTTAGTTACGGTGATGGACCAGCCTGCTATTCTTCAAGCATCACTCCAAGGGCCCAAGTGCATTCCAGTTGAGCATGGTGTGGCATTTGGTCAACCTTTAGTAAAATGCCAATCCAGCATTGCCAAACACCTCCCACAATCCCTTGTATCTGTTGAAGATGTTCCTTCAGGATTTGGAGCATGGCCCTCTAATAACATTGGTACAGTGGGTTCCAGTTGCAGTCTTGGAGGGTTAAGTTCTCAGAATGGTAACACGCTGATTGATTTGTTGCAGCAACAGCAACGACTTCAGAAACCACAGCAGCAGCAATCTGCTATCCCTGAGCCCAGCTGTTCAATTACTGTGCAGCCATCTTGCCTTGTTGCACCCTCTAAATCAGCTGCTAGTTTTCAGGCAGGAAATAGTCCTGTTTCTTTAAACCATAATGGCAGCTTGAGTAGGACTGCTGTTACTGATTATATCCTTCTTTCACCTCAATCACATAATTCTTCGTTGAATATTGGGCAAGTTGCTGATGCGGATCTCCAAAATAGAGGCATTCTTAGTGGGTTCATCCCCTCTGCTCCTGTTTCTCCATCTGTCTCATCTTGCTCTGTAAATGATGACACTTGTACTAGTCGGCAAGTTCAAATCTCAAGCTTGACATGTAAAGCATCCAGGCATTTGCCAGGATTTGTCCATAACACATGTGACGTCCAGAGTCCCTATGGTTCTGCTAAGTCTGGAGAAGTGCTTGATCAAGCACTTTTTAATAATCTTGAATATATTAATAAAGGGGCTTGCCTTCCAATGCGGTTTTCTGTTGATGAATTTCAGTCGCCAATGAGCTGCTCTACCCATGGAAAAGTCTTTAGTGAGAACATTGTTACCAGAGTGAAGCAGGAGCCAAATATGGAATTTGTGGATAATGCAAAAGCAGGCATACCAATTCTACAACAATTTCCTCCTAATGATCTTATGAGTGTTTTCACAGAATAGGTAATTTAGTTTGGTCTTTTATGAATTTGATTTGCTTAAAAACATTCATAAGTTTAGTTGGCCTTTAGTTGCTTTTACATGGCATTTCTTTCTCTGAAACTAATTTGCCACTTGATTCATTCTCAAATGATAATTTATCATTTATTCTGTTTTGACTTCTTCTGGAGACCAACAGTGTTTCTTTGCATTTGAAAGCTAGGAATCAGCATTTGACTAGTTATGCTTATGCAAACTAATTTGATTTCTGTTTGCATCAGATTAGTGACTTTGATGATGTATAATTTATTGAAAAACTCTGGAAAATAGATGGTCATCTTGTCTGTCTTGAATCAATTTACTAGGAAGTTTATCAAAAAAGACATAACATACTTCAGGCTAGATCTGCTGTTATTTGAGGAAATACTTATGGCATGCACATAGACAATATTTTCAATGTTCATTAATAATTGATTTTTTACTGAATCCAATTCTGATGCTCTTGTACAACAGGCTTGCATTGAATGGTGAGAATACCTGTCTTAGTTCTCCATGTCGGTAGAGATTGTTTTGCAGAATCAGTTGTTCAGAAAGGTTCAGGTTGAAGTCTTAATTTTAGTATCGACCTTATTCCTAGTATCTACACCAGACTCTGGTGCGCTGTGAAGTCACTAGGTATATGCAATTCAAAAGAGCAGGAATTTGATCCTACTATCTTTTGTACATTTAGGATGATGGTATAGGTTGTACTTGCGTCTAGCCTCGAATGATTTTCTCCCTAATTAGTCTTTAGGAAAAATAAGTAGTGTCGGTCTGATAGCTTAGAATTATGTCCAATATGATAGCATCTTGCAAACACAATTGTGCAGTATTTGGGTTTAGTGATGTTAGAATTCTCATTTATTTATTACTCAAATGAGTCAATGTGTATGTTTGCCCTGTTTTATTTTCTTCCCTTCTCTCTCTCTCTCTCTCTCTCTCTCTCACACACACACACACAAGCTGACTTGTTCGAAGAGATGGACATATATAATTCCTGGATAGACATAGTTAGATGCGTCTTTACTGCACAGATCTACATGTGTTTTTTTTTTCTCAATAAAGCATAGAATGATATTTATATATGGTTTGAGGGTATCATAAATTTGAGGTTTCTAGTCTTTTCTTTAGGGCATTTTGCAAGAGCTCTAATAATAACTTTATGTATATTCTAAACTGTGATTTCTATTTTGTAAGAGCTCTAAAAAGCAAAGAATTTGGGTATTTTCCCTTCTTCAACATTTCACTTGATAGTTTTTATAGTTTGTTCACGCACTCTATTATCGTCAATGTTTCGGAATCAACTAATTAAGTGCATTGTTTTCATCAATATTGTTGCTGGTCGGCTTCAATTGGGCCTAATGGTACCAATTTCTGTTGACGGCAAGCACAGCTGAATGCGTTACCTGTTGGCTATGGCTCGACAAATTATGCGGGCACCTTGCTGCCATCTTCAAAGGCCATTCACAAGCATCAACGACGAAGTTTGCCTGATCATGTGAACTCATTCATGAGCAGTAATGTCTGGTCGATGGTGGATTTCATTCACACAAATTTATTAGTACCTGAGGCATCATATACGATTCTTAAAGGCCAAAAAAAGGCTAAACGGTCTGAATTAGAAAGTAGACCCTTGGAGAATTACGCGTCAAGAAATTAATTAAGCTAATTTGGCAGCCTAATAATAAAATTGATATAATTATTCGAATGAATAATTATTAATATTTAAATTTACTTAGAAATTTAAAAACTCTATTATAGATTTCATAATAATTTTTATAATGGATAAATTTTATATAATATATTAATATATTTAATATTATCAAATTTTTTTTTATAGTTGGCTCTATGTCTTGATCAGATTCAATAATTGAATTAAATCAACTCATTAAAACAAATAAATATTGGGTGGTTGATCACTAGATAATTAATGCTACAAAATTTTCAAAATGATAATGTACCAAGAAAATTACTATCTTTAACACCAATACACTCTTTTTTTTCTTAATATTCATAAAAATTATAAAAATCTAATTATAAAACTTGTAAATGTTTAAAATTTATTTAATGAGTTCAAGAAATATAAGCAAAGTAAGAGAGGCTAAACCATCCTCTAACTAAGAGAAATATCTTATTTTAATATTTCAAGTTTTTTTACCCAAATATATATTTGAAAATTTTAATTTTAGTTTGAATCTTTTCATTATCGATATTCATTATATATTTATATATATATATATAATTATTATCTTATATGCGAAAGTTTTACAAAATAATTTTTTGAATATATAAATGCATCATAAAAAAAATTAAAAACGATCAAACTTTTCAAAATTTAGAATATATAAAAATCATTTTATATATAAATAGATCAAATTTTAAATTTTATAAACGAATTCAATTTTTTCAAAAATAATATTTCACCAATTTTGATTTTCGAGTTCTAATAAAATAGACACCATAAGAATCTAGGAATCTTATGTTTCAATTAAATTAGAAAACTAATTTGATAAAAAAAATTAGTAAATTAATTAAAAGAAGAATTTATAGTGTATTTTTATTACTTATAATTTAATTTTGTTTACACATTATAAACTTTTTCTTGGCCTAGATGGATGGATATAGATTGTGGGTTTAAGTTTTTTTTTTTTAAATTAATAATTATTAAAGAAATTATCAAAATTAAGTAACATAATACAACTATATGATAACTAGCTTTTTTAACCCATACATTGCACGAGATTTTTTATTAAAATTTTTATAATTTTAAATTTATTTTTTAATTAATTTTAATTTTTTATATTATCTTAATAAAAAATACAAATTTTTATTGATCTAATATATAATCATATATTTATGAACGCTAAGCTATAATTAAATGACAATTTACACATAATATATTATAAATGATACCGTTTATACAAAATAAATATAAGTTTTTGTAAATTTTTAAAAATTATAAAAATATTTTCTTTTTCATAAAAAATATTGTTTTCAAATTATTTGCTAAATACTACAAAATTTGCTACCACTTTTTCTTGTTTGATAAAAAATCAAGAATCAATCTTTAAATAGTTAAAATTAATAATTGCTTTTATGATAATATATTGATATGGATATATATATATATATATATCATTTGATTAAATTATGAAAGACATTTTATATTAGTAGAATATTCTTAAACTATTGAATTATAATATTTTATAATTTTTTTTATAATATATATATATATATTTGATTGAACAACAAATCGCAATTATTAATTTGGTCATAATCATTTATTTTTTATTAGTTCTTATTTTTAACATATTTTAAATAATTATTACACAAATATATTGGCCTAATAATTATTTCTATGCCAACAAAATAAAAGTTTTTTTTAAGTAAAAGGTAAACAATGATTCTTTATGTTATGATTAAAAACATATCATTTTTTAAATAATATTTATTTTTATTTATTTTTAATATAATTGATAAAGTATTTTTGGTGAGACAGATATGCCAGTGATCATCATTTTTCTCATGCTATCTATTATAGACAAAGAAAATCAATAAAAAAATACTACAAAAAAAAATAAATAATATAAATTTACATATTAATTTGTTGAGATTAATAGTATGCAATAATAAGAATAAATATTTTAATGAATTAACATAGAATAAAAATATTAAAGAAATTAATAAAACAAAAAAATATATAATACGACAAGTTAATTATAATTAATCTAAACAAAATAAAAAAAAAGTAATGGACTAAAGAAAAACAAATAAATTAACTAAATATATAATATAAAAATATTTGATTTAAAACACAAATAAAATATTATATTTGTTCTCAAAAGCAAAAACAAACTATTATCTAACTTATTTAGCAACGTTCAAATGTCTCATCTTTTCATATAAAGATACAAAATCTTATTACTTTAGTAATATATGCTTTTTAGTTAATAATTCATTAACTTAGAGTTAACTACCATATAAGTTCTAAATAAGTCTTAATACCTAGTCAATTCAATTTTTTTTTTGCTTAATTATTAATTTCAATATAAAACCATATTTTAAGGTAGATTTTGATTTGAATTTAAATAGTTATCCAAAAATATTAAATTTAAATAATTTATTAAATAAAATTATTTGGTAAAAAATAAAATTTTATTAAGTATATATATTTAGAACTGTGGCTAAATTTAAAAAGAAAAGATAAATTATGCTTTAATATATTTGAATTGAAAATTTATGCAAAATTTTCAATTTCAAGTAGATTTTGATTTGTATTTAAATAATTATCCAAAGTTTTAAACTTAAATAATATATTAAAGAAATTTATTTGATAAATAAAATAATATAAATATTATCTTATGTGTCATTAAAAGAGATTATCTACCTCGACATCCATATAAGCAATTTTTATCATATAACATTTTATGTTGTAATATAATATGTTTGAATTCAAAATTTATGCAAAATTTTTAATCTTAGATAAATTTTGATTTAAATTTAAATAATTATCTAAAATATTAAATTTAAATAATTTATTAAAAAATTATTTGATAAATAAAATAATATAAGTATTATTTTATATGCCATTAAAAAGACTATCTACCTAGACATTCACATAAGAAATTTTTATTATGTAATATTATATGTTGTAATACAATATATACTAGTTTATTACCTGTGCGATACATAAATTATTTTTACTTATTTAAACATGTAAAAACATAAATTAATATTATTTAATCATGCTCAAGATACATGCAAAATACATATAATATAATTAAGATATAAAATCGTAATAAAATTAAAATCTTTAATTAAAAATTAGACAAAATTCAAAACATATTATAAGTAATAATATTAAGTGCATCAACAAAATGTTTAAATAAAAATTAAAAATTTTATCACTTTAAATTAATTTTTTTTTAATTTTCATCACTTTCATCTTATGTGATTATTTTTATAAACCTGTAATATTTAAAAAAAAAACTCGTGATCTTCAACATGCTCTTGTTACTAAATAGAGATATTTATAAACTCATAAAAAAAACCTATTAATTTTCAACATGCACTTATTAATTTAAAAAATGGATTTAGATGGATATTTAAAACGGTTACAAATTTTAAACAATTCTCTTATCTGTTTAAAAAATGAAAATTTAATAAATAAATATAAATGGATATCTAGATCTTTAAATAATGTATTATCGAAATAATAATTAGTCCATGCACTTGTCAAGTTAAATTAATTTAAATATTTGAAACATATTCGAATAAAATTAAATAAATTATGATGATTGTGAGTAATTTTAAATGGGTTCTAAATAGATTTGCAATGAATTAAAAAAAAAAAAAAGCTGATTTGTAAGAGAGCGAACAAAATAATTATTTGATTAAGAAAAAATTTAAAACTAATGATAAAAACTAACGGTAAGTACTTATAAAAAATTATAATTTGGTTAAATATTAATTTTAAAATATTGGAAGATGTGCCTAATGTTATTTGTCATGAGAATAATCTAGCATTAAATACACAAACTTAATTAATTAGAAAATTTTTCTTTAAGCAAAATCATATAAATAAAAAATATTACCAATTAATAGAAAAATTTATACGTAATGGTGATGGATTAAAAAAAACAGGATATAATATGAAAGGAAAGATAGGCCAAAAGAAGGATAAAAAAATTGCTGTTATAGGTAAAAAAAACCTACGTATCTAAAAAAACTTTAGCTGAAAGTTTGAATGAAAAATTTTGGTTGCTAATAAATGAACCAATGTGATGGGATCATAATTTGATAATATCTCTAAGTGACAGATAACTAGAAGTACAAAAGAGGATTGCAAAATTTTAATTAGAGCAGATAGCAGCAAGTTTATATCATCAATTTTCAACCTTATGAACGTAAAGCTTCAATTTTCAAATACCAACATATACATCATGTGAACTAATCAAAATATCAGTGGTTAACTTTATATCATTAAATGGAATGCTTATATAATGAATGAAATTTTAAATTCGGGTTTTGATTTTTTATTTTAATTTTTTTCTTAAATTAAAAGAAAATAATTATAATACAATGATAGTTTCGAAATACCAATATATATATATATATATATATTTAGATTCCAGAAGAAAGGCTAAACGTATGGTTGTTTCTTGCTCCAGTGGCCAATAGAGGAATAGCATCCAAACCAATCGGCTCAATATCTTCCAATTTTCCGGGAAGCATAATTTTTTTTTTCTGGGATGAAAGAAAAGAAAGAGAATTTACCAAAAAAAATTGAGAAATGTTACTTTCAAGTTTCAAAAATGGAACTTCACTCTCAAAGCTTTCTGCATTTCCTCTGCCTACTACTACACAGCCTATGATCTCTTTGTCATCATTTAATGACATATCTAATCCCCCTTTGTCTCTCGCTCTTGCATTTAATGTTTCAAAACTATAAAGCCAAACTCTTTTTCTTTTTCAATCTCGAGCCTTTTTTTTTTTTTTTTAAAGCACCCTCTAACAAGCCAAAGGAGGTTCTTTTTGAGCTAACATGGAGAAAAGCCAAGAACTTGCAATGACCCAGATGAGGAAATCAGTTGAGAAGCTTGGGTTTTCAACAGAGGTAAATAAGTGATACCCT